TGAATGACACTAGAAAGTAACTGATAACTATCTGGAAACAAAAGCAGCCTAGAACCAAAGTATGAGTAAAGGCTTAAGGAAAACTGCAATTCCATTTAATTCTCAAGACATAGATCCTTATATTCCGAATCTTTAGTTGGATTCATACATTTGTATTTTTTGCCTGGATGTTTCCTCTGAATGACTGACTTGTCTATCCAATTGCCTATCTGCTATCTCCATTCAGATATCCCACAGTCATCTCAAACTTGAGCAGTCCAAAAGTCTTTTCTTTCAAACTTGCTTACTGACACTGCCTTCCAAGTTTCAGTAGATAGCAACCTGACAGCTGCTTACAGATGCTCAGGTCTAAATACTTAAGTGTTACTTTACCCCCTTAAATCTCAAATCCATTCCATAAGCAAATCTTATTAGCTTCCTTCTAAATTTACTCAGAATCTAACCTACTTCCACAATTATCTGAATTATTGCAATAGCCTAAGTGGTCTTCCTGATTTCACCTGTCCCCCTGCTCACTCTATCCCCAAGTCTATTAACAATACAGCAGCTAAAAGTCTTCTCATTTTATTATGAAAAATCTCAAATGTACAGCAATGTTGAGTGAATTTTGCAGTGATCCATTTGTATATCCCTACCTAAAATCTACCACTAACAAAACAGTCCTCTGATAAATGACAAGTTGCCATTTCCTCTTTGGAGGAAAGGCAAAAATCCTGTAGAAGAGAAATAAAAACACAGAAAAGCACCAAAATTGCCTCTTATCACTCTACCTTAAAGTACATATATATTTTTTTAAAGATTTATTTATTTATGCATACAAGAACTGCAGTGTAGGCCAGAGTTGTGTGTGTGGGCGGGTGTGAGAGGATTCACCAGAGACAGAGTGGGGAGCAGAACAGGCAGATGCACTGAAATACACTGCTGAGGGGAACGACAGGCGATACGGAGAGGTCTGCTAGGCCATGTGGGTAGCTCCCTGGCTGGGGATGAAACTCATGTTGTAGTGACTGGCAATAGCTTGCTAGCGCTGTCTTTAACACCTGTGCCACCAGGCAGACCCCCTCACCCCCACTTAGAGTATATTTTCATAATGAAATTCTAAGAGAAACATGGAAATCTGCTCACAATTCTTCAATAACTTACCTCAAAGAGGAAAAGCCAATTTCTTACTATGGTCTACAAGACACGGCACAATCTAGTTCCTACTCCTTCTTCTTGTCAATTACTCTCCAGGCACACTGGTCTCCTTGTTCTTCAAACATGGCAAGAACATGTTTGCTTTAGGGCCCTTGTACTTGCTGTCCCTTTGCTTGGGGTGCTCTTTTCCCAGGTTTGCACTATCAATTCTATTTGTGTATGGTCTTTAAGATCCTCAAAGAGAGCAGATGTTTGCTCCACTACTTCATACTTAATGTGCATGATAGTATTTGGCCTGTAGTAGGAATTTAGCACGTACCTATTTGAAGAATAAATTCTTTACACTGAAGCTACTGTGGTCTTTTGAAAACTCTCACACACAAATATATATTATATATATATATATATAATATATATCTTCTTTTTTTTTTTTTTTTTGCTTTCAAAGAATTTTTACCACAGCACGTAATACCCTGCAAGGTAAGCTCCTACTTAGTTTAGGCTCATCTCACACTCTCTGTCATATCGTTTTAGTCCCTGGGACTTTTTCTCTGTTCTTCCTTTTTCATCCTGTTTTTATACTTATTTCACTCTCAGGCAGTTTTATATCTTGGCTCATAACATTTCTTATTAGAAGCTATTTCTGACACCCTAGTTTAGAATGAGTGCCACTTTAATGCTCTCATTTACCATATACCTACCCCTAAGACCTATTAGAACTTACCAGACAGCAAATTTTACGAGAGAAATAAAGTTTCTATTTGCCTAGCACCTTGAAGTTATTGGCACACATTAGAGTTTCCTACTCATTTAAAAAATAAATGTTGTGTCCCTGTGTTACTAGGGCCTAACTGGGTGCCTGATAGACAGTAGATGAATAATTTGCTAAATGAACCATAATATGAAGGGTGTTTGATTACTCATTTATAATGAGTATATAATGCAGAAGCCCATCACTTAATTACCTATGATTAGGTATTTATACTTGATACCTACTTATACTTGATAAGATCCCAAGTTCTCCCCTATAAACCTTTCTTCAGCACTGAGACTGAAGAAAGTGATTTATACTTCAGGGTGAGCTGCTCTGGCTGGGAAAATCCATGTAGAGTCAGAATTAGTCAAAAGTGAGATTTAGCATCCTAATCAACAGACCCCAGGATTCTGATTTGTATACTTAGATGTTCAGGAAACCTTTTTTTCCTCCAATCAAATGAGGACCTTTGCATTCCTTTCCCACTTACATTAATAGCAATCTCTGGAAAGATATCAGTGGTCATAGGGTGTCTTAAAATACACACATACACAGGTTGTATAAATTTATATAGGTTTATTAGGGCAGGATGGCATGGAACAGTATAAATAGGAACAGCAAAACTCTTACAATTAATCACTTTTAGCATGTTGACCTTCAGAACTTTTAAAAGTAAAGTAGTAATTCCAGATGAGCCCCACACAAGTTTATTAGCTATCAATTTAGAAAAGGGAGAAGAAGCAAATGATATACAATAGAAATAAATTATTTCAAACTTCTAAATTTTTTGGATAAAATGCTAAAGAACATAGAAAGATCTCAATTTCCTAGTTTTAAAAATGTATTATAGGTATGTAAGATGCTATCCATGGGGAAACTGGGTGAAGGGTGTACACAAACATTCTGCACTACTTTTGCAAGTTTCAGCAAGAAAAAAAAAGTAAATCTAGATCAGAAGGAATCTTTAGAAAGAAAAATAAATATTTATAGCCTAAGACTGTTGCTTTGCCAGGTTTGTAGAGTTAACCAAAAATGCTTCCAAACTCAAACACACATTTTACTAATAAAAATGTTAGCCTCTGAAAAGAAGTATCCCATTTTTAATGTTTGAACTTACAATGTTTTCCAGAGATGTGTACAGAGTGGAACACAATACTGTTTGCAAAAGATAACTTAATTTTGTGAAAGCCACCAAAAAAAAAAAAAAAAAAGTGTTAGTTCTTGAAAAGGAAAATTCTTATTTCTTGACATCATCAAAGAAAAATGCAAAAGGTCTTATGTGAAAGGTACAAAAATGGACAAATCCTATCACCTCATCTCTCAAAACTGCATAAATACTGACAACATTTTCCTTCATCTATGTCCCCAGAGCAGCCAGCCCACACAGACCAGGGGGTACTCACACGTCAGAACATTCCACAAAGATCTGGGATCATATTTTTTGGCAGGAAAAAAAATCACTTAATGTGCAAGAAAAGCCTGTGAAGTAGCCAGAGTGATGCATTTAATCAGGATCACCTTACAATGACATTTTAATATCATACTTTATAACATTCTTGGGAGTGTTCAAAAGATATATGACATATGAATTCTTAAAACAAGTGGAGTAGCATCTTGGTGCCAAATAGAGGGCAAACATATAGAGGGAGAAGGAAAAACACCGAAAATTTCTAAAATTGCCTCATATCACTCTTTGTTAAAGTATTTTTTTTTCAAAGATTTATTTATTTATGTATACAAGAGCTGGTGTACAAGCCAGAGGTGTGGGGGGTGAGAGGACTCACCAGAAACAGAGTAGGGAGCAGAACAGGCGGACTGACTGAAATACACTGCTGAGGGGAGCAGTGGGCGAGACAGAAGAGGTCTGCTACGCCATGTGGGTCACCTCCCTGGCTAGGGAGTGGCTGTGGATAGCTTCATAGTGCTGCATCTTAACCCACTGCACCATCAGGGAGGCCCCCAGTTAAAGTATATTTTCATAATAAAATTATAAAAGCAAAACATGGAAATCTGCTTGGCTGGACACTTGACTTGTATTTCCCTCTTAAATATAAAAGTGCAACAACACAGTGAAGTAAAAGGGAATTTAGGGTCAGAAAGACCTGAGTTCAAATTCTGTTCTTTCATCTATTGGTTTTGTTACAATGTTATAATCTCCTTGAATTTCCATGCCTTTGCTACTACAATGGGCATAGTTATCCCCCTTTTCTCATGGTTGGTCCTAGTGCTGGAAGGGACAATAAATTTAAGTACCTACTGAGCATGATAGTGTGCTAACGACAGGTACTTTGAGTCTGAGCTCCCTACCAGTTTTTCCAGTAAGAAAATATTTCTTCTGTTAGTTTGGTGTGAGAAAAAACAAGAGGTTAGAGAGTAAATAAAAAGAGCAAGAGACTCCAATTCTAACATTATCCAAACAATCTTTCCATCAATTATGCAATTACATAAACTAATATTCAATAAATGTTATTAGGTTTATTAGTATTATTTGAGTAATGCATTATATATTACCTGAATAGGTCCAGTCTCTTAATTGTCTTTAATGGTTTAGCAAAATGTCACTGACCATTTTATTCACTGTAACATAGCATGACCTTTTGGGCAGATTAAGATTATTAGTATTATTTGAGTAATGCATTATTTATTACCTGAATAGGTCTGTCTCTGGCAAGTCAGCTTTTTTTTTTTTTAATTGTCTTTAATGGTTAAGCAAAATGTCACTGGCCCTTTTCTTCCCTATAATATAGCATGATCTTTTGGGCAGAGTAAATTACTCTTGATCTCAGGTAAAAATCAAAGTTTTAATGTTTAGTCATGGGTCTTGGGAATAGTGACATGGAAAGAGAAAGAGTGAAGTTTATCAAAGAATATGTCTTTTAAGACCGAGGGTATGATAATTCTCCCTGTGATGAAACATCCGTTGATGTCACACTGTCTAGAGATCAAAGTTCCTTAATTCATACCTTGAACCTCCCTCTCAGTGCCACAGTCCCAGCCCCCCTCAGCGAACTCTAAAAGGTTGCAAGCCTTCTGAATTGCAGAGCAGCTCAGAAACAGCCCCTACTTAGGCTTCAGTGATAGGTTCTTAACGTGGAATTTCTGGAATTATTCAGAGGGTTCTGGAATCCACAGTCCCTGTGCGTAAAACTGTGTTTGTTTCGTGCCTTTTTCTTAGGAAACTAACTGATCAACAACCACTTCCTCTTCGAGCTCAGTCTTCTCTATCCATCCTATCATGCCAAAGAGGTCTCGCCCACATAATCTCTCTCATCACTTTCGTGTATTTCCTGCATAGTTTTACCAACCTGTCATTAACGCTTAAATCCGTCTACCCCACTAGCAGGTAAGTTCCCCAAGAGCAGACTCCTGCTCTTTCTCCAGCGCCTTGAACCTGGTGGGTGCAGAGATACTTCTGTAATGAACGACTGGTCCGTATCTAATCAGATATTTAACGGGCTCTCTACTCCATCCCAACCCCCCCTTCTTGCCCCCAGCAATCTTCTCCGGAAATAATTTTGAAATCACGCGTTTTCACTTTGGAAATCAGGCTTTTTAGCATTTCAACCACACCCACTCGCCCTCGCACGCTCGCTTCCTAGGGTCGGTACTACCACCCCGGCCCACTTACCCAAGCCCCAGAGGCCGGGCGGCGCTTAGACCAAGGCCGGGGCGGCCTCGACCGGGCACCCGCACCGACTCCCCTTCCCGGCCGCGGTCCTGCGGGCGGAGGGGCCAGACGGGCCCCGCGGGCCCCCAGGACCCGCGCGCAGGCCGCCCCGGGCTCCGCCCCGCCCGTGATCGCGCCCCGCGGCCCGCTCTCCGGCGCCGCCCCGGCAGCTCTGGGTGGCGGAGCCGGGCGGCGCGCGGCTCCCCGCGTCCGGCGGGGCGTCCTTGTCCCGGCCAGGACCAGGGGGGTCTCCCGGCGCGCGGAGCTCCCGGGCCGGCGCGGCCGCAACTGCTTCCGGGTGAGCGGGTCACCGACCCCGAGGCCCCGCCCCCCGCCGCTCCGCCTGCCGCTCGGGCTGCGGCTCCTCCCGGGGCCGGGACCCGCTGTCTGTCCGCGGCGCGGAGGGGACACCGGCGTGGCTGACTGACCGGCTGCCGGCGCCGGGAGCCGCCGCGTCCAGTCCGGCCCGCCTGGCCGGGGACCCGGGACCGAGCCCGCCCTCCGCGCCCCTCGCGCTGCGCCCCTGGCTCTGCGCCCCTCGCTCTTCGCCGGGGCGGGTGCGAGACGCTCTGGCCCTTGCCGGGCGGCGCCGCAGCCACCGCGCGCCCGCGAGCAGGTAAGGCCGCCCCCGGCGCCCGCCCGCCCGCCTCCCGGGGCTCTGCAGCCGGGGGCTCCGCGCCGCCGCCGACCCGAACTGCGGGGCGGGCTGCCCAGGGCCAGGCCGGGCCCCCTGCGGGCTCGGGGGACCCGGGTCGCCCCCCGCCTGCCCGCGGCGTTCTGGGGCTTCCAGGCTGGATTGCGGACGCGCACCCTCCGGCCGCGCGGGGATGTTGCTCCCATTGTAGGAGAAATGGGCCTGGGCCGCTGTCCCTCGGCTTCGGGTGCTCCAGGCGCCGTCTCCCCACATGCAGCTCTCCTAGGTTCTGTCCCCAGATGAGCCCCCCGGGAACGGTGTCAGGAGGGTGGAGGACTTGGCATGTTGATGGGGTTAGTTTTTCCTTCTTCCTTGACCCGAACTGAAACTCGGGAATAACAGGCACTAGAAAGGAGTGTCAGGGTTAATGCTTCACTAATATGGGGTGTTATTCACACCCACATTGTTAAGTTATATAGCTCCATTCAGGCCTCTTCTCCTGCCTGTAGTTAGTTATCCAGCAGGAAGCAGGAGATCGAAGGAGACCCACTTCGTTTTCTTTCTTTCTTTCTTTTTTTTTTATGGGGGAAAAAGTTCAAGAGTTTGCTCTCCTTTTTCCACCGTGGGAGATAAAAACATCAGGCTGCTGAGACAGGACTAGGGAAATAGTGTGTCCTAAACTGTAACTGTAGCTTATTTTGGGTTTTTATTTAGTGATTCAGCAACTCCGCTGTAAAGAGAGAAACTGTAGAGCAGGCTAATTAACTAAAAACTATATATACCTGTATAGATAGATGGACGGACGGACAGACAGACAGACAGATAACAGAGTGGCCATTCCTTTTTTTCTTTAATGTTATCACAACAGGAAAAGAATGTGGATGCAGCAGTGGAACCAGAGAGATGGAGAGCAGGGTATATATAGATGGATGAGTTCTTAACCAGTGTTTAAAATAACACAGTATGTTTTCAAGATAACAGTTTATTTTGGGGATGAATCTGTATGGAAAAGTGCAGTTGTTGGAGACTGCAAAGTATTGCAGTAAGAGTTACTTTGCAGGGACTTTGAGTTTGCTATGGTTTAAAAGCGTTGCAAAATAAATCCTATTTAACAAACACCAAGCTGTGTTTAACACTTGTAGAGATGTTGACTTAGTATTATACTACTAAAGAATAAGAATTTTGGAAAGTGTGATTCATTTACGAAGTTAGGTCATTCACTTCATGAATCATTGATATGGATCTTAAAATTGGAATAGACAAAAGCTAGAAATTTGTTACTGCCTGTTTAATTAGATGCGTTCATGCATTTTATAAGAAATGTTGTATTATGCTTTGTCAGTTTTGTTGCTGGATATTTACTACCTTGAAGTATGGTAAGCAATAAAGAATGAAGAACAGTAGCAAAAAGCTAAGGACTATTGTGATTTCACCCATTTTTGTGGGAAGATAAGGAGTTTTGAAACAAAATAAACGCCAGTGAATAGGACAGCTACCATGATTAAGGTCTGACAGAGTTCACAGAAAAATTTACAATATACAAACTTTTTTTTTTTTTTTGAGTGAAAGAGCTCATCCATTTGGTGAATCGGTCTTAAAAACATGGAGTAAGATAACAATACTGAGTTCTCATTTAAGTTCTCTTATAGAAGAAAGTGTATATTGAAGTTGTGATTAGTAGAATGAATTAATATTAAACCAGAAATAACTTTATTGCTGAAATGTAATTTGATCATTTTGGCTTTTAAAATGCTACGCTAAATAATGTTGACTCACAGAGTTGTTGATACTCTTAGCTTTGTTTTCAGAATTAAGCTGATTTTACTTTGATTTTCATTTATAAAGACCTTTAGTTTGTTAGTTATCAGTTATAAAGTAATGGTATGTTTATTCTGTTGGTCTTGCTTGCCAAATTCCTTTAATTCTTTACTAAATTTTGGCATCTTATTTCCTTGGATATCCATTCTTAGACTCAGTGTGTCCCCTAAAGTTGCTTTTGATTTTTGTCCAGCTAATGGTGACTTAAGAGTTTCAGTTTTCAGTGAACAGGGATTCCCGTCTGGAAAATCCCTTGTCATATTCACATGACTGACAATCTTGATGGGCAATTATGCAAGGGAAACCTTTTTTCTTTCTTTCTTTTTTTTTTTTTTAAGATTTATTTATTTGTGTAAGGTCAGTGCAGGGATAAAGGCCATAGGTGGCGGGGTGGTGGTGAGAGGATTGGCCAGAGACAGAGTAGGGAACAAAACAGGCAGACTGACTGAAATACACTGCTGAGGGGAGCAGCTGGTGAGTCAGGAGAGGTCTGCTGCGGCATGTGGGTCACCTCCGTGGCCGGGAATTGAGCTCGTGCTGCAGTGGCTGTGGGGAAACCTTAGGTCAGGATTTAAGCATCTCCATAATGAAGGAAAAAACTGACATGGACAATTTATTTGGCAAAGTAGATTCTGGTTTAAACAACAACAAATCTTTACTAGAAATGAGGGGGAGTGCCTTGCAAAACTCTCTCTGTGGATTGTTTAGCCTGCTTTGAGTGGGAAAAGGAAGAGTTTATGATGTACAGAAGAAAATTAGTAATCCCTGCAGTGTGCTGGGAATATTGATGAGAGTCATTTAAAAGGAAAAAAATTCTTCTTACCATAGGAGCACTGTCCATTTGCACCTACAAAATAGAGGCCATTTCATAGCCTTTCCCTTTAGGTAGTTGTTTTCTGTGGAGAATGTGAATGGAGAGATGGTTCTTTAACTGGGAAAACATATTATCTTATCCAGTTTGCAAGTAAAGAATAGACTTTATGACCAGCATTCAGAACTCAGCTTTAAAAACTTAAGCAGTAAGGAATCGAGCAAAATTTTACCTCTGAGTAAAACAACTTCCCTTGTTCTCTGTTCTTCCTTTTAAAATAATAGATAGGACACCTTTAGAAATGCTTTTTTTTTTTTTTTTTGTTATTGCACATTGCACTTTCACTTTTAAAACATTTTGGCCTACAATAAATTAGGTCAGATTGAAAAGGAATCAAGCAGTTGGCCAAAAAGTGAGTTTATAATGTTATACTTCATTTGTTCTATTTTTAAATTTATTTGGGCTCAGGGACTTCTGCTTCTCCGAGAAACTGAGATTTACTACGTATGTGTGCTCTTGTTTTGGTCTGGTGGTAGGGAGAGGAGTAGTTAAGGGTAGTAACCATTAAGAAAAGGGAAGGAGAATGCTACTTCCTGGGTTCAGTAGATGTTTGTGGGGTTTTTAAAAATTGATAAACTATATTAAAAGAACATGTTATGTGATGGAAAGGAAGTCTCCTTTACATAATAAACTTCTGACTTTTTCTTTTCCCCTTATCTTCTCCATCCTCTAATCTAAGCAACCACTGCTAATGGTTTCCTGTGTATCTCTCTCTAAAATTTTCTTTTACTTGTTAATCACATATGTTTAGAAGAAATGTGGCTTGTACTTTCCCTTATCTTTGAGAAATATATATATATATATCGTACTGATCTTTCTATATTATATATATATCACATATATAAGATATATCTTTCTGTATTATATATATATATCGTACTGATCTTTCTATAAACTACATAGCTAGTTTTTTTTTTTAAAGACTAGATGTTCTGTCCAGTGTAGATGAGTCATAATTTATTCATATTCCCTAATATATTTTACCATTCACTGTTAACATTTAGGTTGTTTATAGCTTTCTACAAACACTGCTATAATGAACAACTCATATATAGGTCTTTGTATTAGTCCATCTGTATGCGTATGGACTGTGTTTCAAAAGTGTGGCTGCAAAATTGGGGCATAGTTGTAAAAATTAAAACATTTATTTCAGTCTTTATTGGACTTTATACTAGAAGTTAACTTATCAAATTTGTGGAAGGTGAAAGGAACTTTTAATTACTTTGTATTCTTTCCCTCTTCATTAAAAAAAGTACAGCAAATGTATTTTATAAGGCAATTCAAAACATTTTAGAGTGACAGTTAATTTTATTTATTTGTGAGGGTAAAAATAAATATTGTAACTTGAGAAAA